GTTACACATTCAATCACTGATTCACTCGCTCTTTCAGGGGCCAGCCTGATACAGGGAAGGATAGTTTGATTCCTGCCCTTGTTAACATTGTTACAATGTATAATTTACTTATGAAACTAAACACATTCAGTTGAAAGTTGAAAGGTGAGGAGTATAAAATATAAACTACAAATGCCATGGCACACAAATAGATAAAAATACCAAACTACAAGGGGAGATACAAAATGCGCACGCACAAATTTTAAAACACAATTCCTTATCTTAAAGTGAAAGAGAGAAGAAGGAAGAAAAGGTAGAAAAAGAGGAACATATCCAAAGAGGGGAGAGCAAATGCAGGCAAGAGAAAAAGGGGGCTTTCTGCTACACTCAGGCTGCTGGCACAGGCCGCCGCAAAGCTGAGTACTTAGTTCCACAGTTAACGTCTCAGTGCCTACACACGCAGCCCTATTAGGCCACAGTAAACTAATAAATTCTGCCATAGGATCATACTTGTAAATACAGTATTAGCCTATGGTGAACTTTTTTAGTGTGCAGCAACGCAAGTGTAGATGCTGATGGGGCTGGCCGGGGCATGAGGGTGCTTAAGTGTGGGGGCTGCCTTCTGGCTAGTCCCACACTGAAGCACCCTTGTGCCCCAGCCAGCCCCCCAACAGCATGATGAACTGAGTTGGAGCAGCCCCAGGCTGGCAGGCTGACTCCCTGGGCTCCCTGCCAGCCAGGGCTGCTCTGACCCAGGTCAATGTGCTGTGGTCACAGGTGCACATTCAAAAGTGGTGCCCAGAAGCAATAAACTTAGTTGGGTGTATAGATATGCCCTTTTACTTACTTTTGTCAAGAGTTTTGAAATTCTGAGATAAAAGGCACTATATAAGTACTATGTCTTCTTAATTTCTAGTGAAAAAATACTAGTCTTATCATTTTTCTAACAATACATTTTTCTGTGAATTATCATAATTTACCCAGTTAATGTCTGACTAAGGTATATGGTATGATATAAATGGCTAAGTGGTGGCAGTGCTGTAGCAAGTGGGGGGAGGGGTGTGACTGTCCCAGGCACCGAAGCGAAGGGGCGCTAATAGACACTGCCTAGCTAGGGCAGGGTGTGGGATGGAGCCTCAAGCAGCTCTTTTGGGAGGGCGCGGGGATGGGTGGCTCCTGCCACTGCATGCACTCCCAGGGGAACATGTGGAGGGCATGTGCTCCCTGGATCTGTGAGTGGGGCAAGGGTGGGCTGCCACTGCGGGCTTTGCCCCAGGTGCCAAACTTCCTTGCCATGGCACTGAGTGGTGGTACAGATTTTTTGGTGCGTTTAATCTAGGAAATGTCCTCTGACTGGATAAAATATTTTTATAGTTATATTCAATTTATTGTTTCAAGAGGCTACATCCTGTGCTTAGTTATAAAAGTATAAACTGAGAGTCTCTCCAAGTCAGTCCTGTCATGCTTCTATCAGCTCTGAAATCTTACACCTTAGAGGGAAAAGGAGGGCCAATAGAGCTTTGTCTCTCTGTGGTCCCTGTTTGCAGAGACCTCTACCATTTGAGTTGCTACCTCACTACTACCATTTGAGCTGGAAATACTGTACATTTCTGACCCTTTTATTTGACTGAAAGGGCTAGCATGTTTTTTAACCATACGAGGGTTGGCAATCACTGTTTGAGAGCACAAAGGCTAAAAATTCAAAGTGTTACTTTGGGCTATATTGGATTCAGCTAAAAGAGAATTGCACAGGTGATTTTTTCTGGTTTGGGCTTGAGGATATATCTTTGACTATGATTTGGAGTTAGCTGGTTTTCCCAGAGATTTTTTTGTTTTTATTGTATGGTGGGTGAGATAAATTATTATCTCCATCTGATTTAATGAAAACTGCTGGGGTTAGTTTATTTATATTTTATGTTCTTAGGTGGTTTCTGTGAATTTAATCACTGTCAGGGTACATGGAACTTTTGAATGGGTACAATTTGTCAAGTTTCATGTCAAATTTAAACAAGAGGAGAAGCAAATAATACACCCCCTTTCCACAATGCTTTGCAAATATATCGCTGAGCACATTTGGAGATGGAACAAGGATAACAAACAACCTTAAAGAAGCAAGATAGATTGAGAGTTAAAGCCAAGTCTGTGATATGTGTAAGTTAAAAAGTGGTTAAGTAGATGATGAGCTCATAAGGGACTAAAACAGCAAAACATGGGATTGGGAGTACCATGAGGGTCATGCTTCCTTTCTCTTCCTTCACCCCCTATGTCAAAAGCAAAAAAGGAGAGATGGTTTGGAGCTGCTATACTAAAACTCTTGATTCTGGGTAACCTTTTGAGGGACAGCACTGTGTGTGTACAAAGGCTGTGGATACTGGAATGGCTTTCAGATGAGAAGTTCCCATGGGCAGATCTAGGATTTTGGAAACAGGGGTGCAGATGCTGTAGCACAACATCACATATAACACGACACACATTTTTGTAAAGAGAAACTAGAAGCTTTACTAATATGCTAGGGGGCTAGCACTATATTATTCAGTTTAAGATCAAATCAAAATACAAATATAACTATTGGAATGTGCATGAATTTGGTGGAGATTATATAAAGATTAAAAAAATACAGTAAACCAGGCAAAACAGAGTCAAATTACATTGTTTTATTAGTCCTGTAGGCATTATAGTTAAATGGACATCTCTTATTCAGATTCATAAAACAAAATCTAGCCTTCTTGAGTGTCTTGGCCTCCAATGCTTCACTGCCTGTCATTTCTACACCTGAGTTAATATTACTACACTGGATTTAAAGTTTTAAGGCTAAAACAGTCTGCAGGGCTGTGAAACAGGAGGGAGAGAGAAGAAATGGCTAACAAACAGCAAAATTGAAGAAGAAAGGATAGATTGAATAGTGAAATATCAAGACCATTAAAAAGGATAGCAGGTCCTTAACACCTCTGGTGTGGTGAGAGATTAGCAGGAATCAGAGAGATGATAGTGAACAATGAAGTTAATTGGTTCCTTTAATGCTGCCTGAATAAAAATGCTGCTGCCCTTCACAGGCAGTTGGTTTTAAAGTCTGGGTGCAGCAAGAGTTTGGGAGGGGAATGGGGAGGAGGGGTGCAACCATTGCAACCCCCCCTGCCCCCCAGATCTGCTCCCAGGAGTTTTTCAGGGAAAACTGCTGAATAAGCACCTGCAGCAGTGCTATGACATGGTAAAGCAGCAGTTGACTTTGCTGCCCAGAGTGCATGGTAAAAATGTCAGATAGTGTGACAAAAATGGGATGTGATATGGTGAATGCAGGCACCATTCATAAGCTTGTTGCTGAATTGTTGCTGTCTTGTGAGGTCAGGGCCCAGGCTAAAAAAGTGGTTGCATCTGAAGGCCTTTGTGTACTCTTAGCCCTGATGTTGTACTGTTACGCTTCTATCTTGTATATCTCAGCTGTCAAGCATTCTTACTGAGCCTCAGCACAGACCTAAAGGACCAGAAGTGTGAAGCTGCTATGTGTGGAAACCCATCTTATGGAGTACCATATTTACTCACGTGTCATATTTACCCTTTTACCAAAAATCTGCCCTCCAGTTGGGGTCCATGTCTTTAGCAGGGAAGCTGATGTTCTTTGCTGGAAAAAAAAGCAGGAAGGCACTTGCGAAATGGCTGCCAGCTTGTGTTGCAGCAAACAAGCAAGAAGGGGCAGAGAACCCCTTATAACCAGGGAACCTGGTTTTCTCTGTTTAAAAATCCCAAATTCTCTGATAAACATACAAAATTCTCTGAATAAAACTCCCCAAAACTACATTTTTCTTCATTTAAAATGAAATGCCTCTATATATATAGGTATCAGTTGTTTTACTGATATACAGTAAAATCTCTGTTATCTGGCATCCTTGGGGTAAGGAGATTGCTGGTTACCTAGAAACTCCAGTTATCTGAAATAACCTGGCAGGGTTTGCTGATAACGTGGAGCCGGGGGGAGGGCAAGGTGTTGGTGGCAGCGCAGGGCGGTGGGTAGCAGTGGTGGTGGCTGCGTGCAAGCTTTCCCCTGCCCTCCCTGCCCATGTGTCCAGCTGGCAGAGCTGGCAGGCGGGGCAGGAGTGGTGGCAGCTGCATGCGGAGCGGTGGCATCACAGGGTGGTGGGTGGTGGTGGCACCTGCTGTGTGCCAGCTTCCACTCTGCTGCATCTAGCTGGATGGCTGGAAACTCCGGTTAATGGCGTATTTTGGTTGGTTAAGTACTGGATCACAGAGATTTTACTGTATTTACAATTTTAAAGCAATTTGGCAGTTTACCAGTGCCTCAATCATTATAATAAAATACATTCTAAATACCTATTTGTTTTGGCATTTGATTTGGGGTTTTTTTATCATAGAAAATCAGAGATCCCCCTGCTCCCTTCTCTCACCAGGACTCAGTGCAGCTGTCCCCTCTGCTGCTTTGTGGTGCTGAGCAGCCCTGATATGCTGGTGCCTTTCCCTTGCCCATGCCATTGCCATTCACTCCTGACCTGCAGCCCCCTGGCTTTGCCTGTGCCTCTTACTTCTGACTGTCGCTGCCGTGCACTGCAGCAAGGGATTCAAGGCCTTAAGGGGCCCATCAGGCAGGTACTTGTGAAGCATGGAGTGGAATTAGGCACAGACGCTTATCGGTTGAAAAGCAAGATTGTTTACTTACGCCATCAAGGTGGTGAATGACGGAGGTCAGATACTTGGTTAGTTACAGCTTAGAGTTCATTAGGTTGGTCTCCATAAGCGTTCAGGCAGAAATGGTCGGTCCGGCAGTCGTTGATTTATGTATGAGATTGGTCGAAGATGGGGAACTTAGACAAGTGATCAAATTGTCTAATTACTCTGACACGTATGTTCAGAGGTCTCCAAGGTGTGTACGGAGGTCTCCGACTTTGCGGAAGTGTAAACGGGTTTTGTTTGTGTAATAGCCAATTGTTTTTCGCCACGTCATAAATTTAATTAGAATCACCAATTATATAGTGGTTTTGTTAGGGTGTTGTTGTAGGGCTACTCCCTTTTTGCTCTGACCAATTATAATGATTTATGTAAAGCACAGAAGGTTAAAGTTTCATTTCTGTTAGTGGTGCAGTTATAGATCTCTTTTTGCTGACACGCAGAGCAAAGAAGGCTGTTACTATCATTTTGTTAACCCTTAGTTAACCTAGTGCAGAAATGAGACTGCTTTGAATAGTATCTCTTGCTTGTGGCATGGGCACTGCTTAATTGGGTTATGACACTGACCTCTGACTGACTGGTGCTCCTCACTCCTGACCCACAGCTTCCCCATCCACGCTAGCACCCCCAGTTCCAACATGCAGCCCCCTGTTCCCCCCCAGCTCTGCCAGAGGGGTACCCCAGCTGCCAGCACTATGGGACTCAGTGGCTGCATCCTGCCTGTTCTCGCCTCTGTTGGCACCAGCTGTAGCCAGCCAGCAGTGCCCGAGCCCTGGCTGCCATGTGTGGGAGGCAGCAGTGGCTGCTGTAATGGCTAGAATGGAGTGTGGATCCTGCTCCCCTCCCGCCTGCCCCCCGTGGATGGCATGGCCAGATGAGCTCGGTAGAACCCATGGGGGGCAGGGGCAGGGGAGGATGCAGGCTGTGTGCTGTGGGGTTCAGGGCTCTCCACCCTTCTGTCGTCCCCCTGGGGAACTCCACAGCCCAGCAGGTAAGACCTGGCACGGGAGGGTGGAGTGGGATGGAGAGGCTCAGTGTTGCAGCTGCTGCCACCACCACCACCGCTGGGTCCCCCATGCCAGCCACACCGCCCTGGTGAGGCACTGCAGCAGCAGGGAGACCCAACTCTGCACCACTGCCACAGCCCCCACTGCTGCTGGGTGGGTAGGGGATGCCTTGCCATGGCAGCACAGCTGGCATGGGGCTCCCAATGATGATGCTGGGGGCACCAAGTCTCTCTGCCTTGCTCTGCCCTCCTGTGCCAGGTCCCAGCTGGTGGGCCCCAGAGGTGGCCAGGCTGCAGCCCTGTGCCTGCCGTGGGCACACAAGTCTGGGGGGGTGCATGCCCCCAGATGAGCCCACCTCAGATACGTCACCCGTGGTCTGTCCCACTCCCCCAGCTGGCCCTATGGCTGCACTTTCCTGCCTGGGCCCCGGGTACTGCCCCAGCTATGCAGTGTCCCCAGCCCCAGCCTCAGCTGCCTAATCCCTCCCTCACTGTGTTTGCCTTAATCTGCCTTTCCCCTGACATAGACTTATCTGCAGGCAGCTGGGGGAGCTGCTCTCCACTGCTGCCTGACTATTGCTGGCCACTTCTTCTCTTTAAAGAGAAAATCTGCATCTTTCCTCAGCAAACAGAAAACCCAGCTCCCTGGTTATAACTTTTCACATCTGCTCACAGCTTGCTGTCTTAGAGAAGCTGGCATCCAGTCTGTAACACAAGCTTTCCATGACAAACCCAGCTTGAGACTGTAACTTTGGAAAAATCTTTTTTTCTACATTCTGCCTTCAAAAAACAAGGTGTGTGTCTTATTGGGCAGTGTGTGGTATGTGAGAAAATATGGTGCCACGTGGCCAGAGGAACAAATTTAACAACTGCAGAAATCACCAATAAAAAGAAAGATGCATTTGGCTCAGCATATTTTGAGAGGTTCAACTGGTACTGAATGTATGTATACATTGGAAGATACAGTGATGGGGAAAGAAAAAGACAGACAGAAAAGATCTTGAATGGATGAAGTGTCCAAACCTTAGGTAGATCAAAGGCAGAAGACAGGGCAGGATGGCTCTTTAAAAGCTAACTGGTTCAGAGTGGTATGAGCTTTTGTAAGTTACAGCCTACTTCATCAGATGCTGTAGCCCAATGGGAATACTAGTTCAGAAAGAGATTAGCTGTGCTGTACAGTAGGGCTGTGCAAAACAGCACTGTTTTGTTGCAACTTAGGTTTCACCGTTGTGACGGGGCAGTGTTTCATTTCAAGTTTCATTTTGTTTCAAAGCACTGTTCCGTTTCGTCGAAACTGTTTCTCTGTTTTGACGCTTTGCCCATAGGATATAATGGTGAATCATGAAATTGCCTATAACTTTGTCATTTTTAGGCAGATTTGGATGAAAACAGTAGGGATGGTAGCCCCTTCTGAGGGCACGAAGCCTGCCAAGTTTCAAGGAGGTAGGTGCAGGAGTTTCTGCGAAACTGCACCTCAAGCTGTTGACAAGCAAAACTTGTGAGGTGTCACTGTGTGTTTGTTAAGGCGCAGCTGTTTTTCCATCCCTCCCCAAGAGCACTGGGATTGGAAGAGACCTCAGGGAAGGATCACAGTCACTGGCCAGCTACACGGTCAATATCAGAGCGGTCCTTCCCCCCTCTCCCCCCTCCATCTCCTTATTTTCCGTTTCTCTGCAAGCAAGCCCAGCTTTGAAACTTGAAATGTTTTGAGTGCCCTCATTTTGTTTCGTTTCAAGGCTGTTTCAAAGCCTTTTGTTTTGTTTCAATTTTGCTGTTTCGACATCAAAACAAAGGAAGAGACCTCAGGGAAGGATCACAGTCACTGGCCAGCTACACGGTCAATATCAGAGCGGTCCTTCCCCCCTCTCCCCCCTCCATCTCCTTATTTTCCGTTTCTCTGCAAGCAAGCCCAGCTTTGAAACTTGAAATGTTTTGAGTGCCCTCATTTTGTTTCGTTTCAAGGCTGTTTCAAAGCCTTTTGTTTTGTTTCAATTTTGCTGTTTCGACATCAAAACAAAACACCCAGTGAAATTTTGCACAGCCCTACTGTACAGTATGGGCATCTATGGGTGCAAATCTGGTAATGGAGATACGACATAAGAAAATGAAAATGCCAAATCTGTGCCACTGGAGTATGATAGTTCTATAAGCTAGAGATGGACAGTATAAACCACTTATCCCAAGCCCCAAAATCTGTTTTTACACACACACACACACACACACACACACACACACACACACACACACACACACACACACGTGTGTGTGTGTGGGAGGCTGTGTGTGTGTGTGTATATACACACACACACACACACACATTTATACATATATACACACCCACACAAGTTAACAATTACATTTTTAGAAAACAGATGAGAGTTAAAATAGGCCTAGATAGCAGATTTTAAAAAATGAGTAAGGAATAAAATTTGAAAAATTCTTTGGAGAAAAGGTAAGGGTTAAAATATCAATAATAAAACAAGACAAGTGGCAGTGATTAAAGACAGAAAATCAAAATCAGGAACTATTATGCATGGGTCTAGTGCACAATAAGGGGAAACATGCTGAGTGAAAAGAGACACAGTGAACCTAAGTGCTAGCTTTTTTTTCAGTTGCTATTAGTTATCTTTGTTTCTTCTGGTGAAGAATATATTAGCCGACAGGGATCTATTAACTGTTTCTTTTGACTTGTTGTTTCTTTTGTCTTTTTCTTTATGAGATGATGATATTTCTTTTTTGTGGCTCTTTCTAACTGGATCATTTCCAGGAAAATTAGAGTATGTGTCTGTCTGAAATGCAAGCTAATTGAACAGTTGGCGAACAGTGGTTCATGCTCTCTAGGGTCAAATGCCAGCTACACATTATACTAAGGAAAAGAAAACGGTACTAGCGAGAGTGCCATTTGACTTTACATGCTCTAAGCTTGTTGGTGATGCAGTCCAGATAGGAAAACCAAAATGGGGACTCATTGTATTAAGAAGTGATATTGTAATCTAGTATTTGGGGCATTGTAATTGCTTTCTATTTTAATCTTATGTATAGTTCCTTATTGCCCTGCATGTATTAACATTTCTATATTATGCAACTGAAATTTTAGGCCCTGATCCTCCAGGCTGGCTTGTGCAGCCAGATCTATACACTAGGTATAACACATGTACTTTGAACATATGGTGGTATGTGCTTACATGGTCCTTTTTGTGGGATGTAGAGCTGGTGAGGGTTACTATATAATATTCTTATTTCTATGGGGTGTGTGTGTGTGTATATACATAGACCAATAGAGAATGTAATAGATCAAAAGGCAGTACAGGGTAGCACCTTCAAGACCTAATTAGGGTTTAGAGATGCGTAAGCTTTGATAAGTGAGTCTACTTCATCAGCTGCTATGAACAGGAGACCCCCACACCTGCCCTGCGGGTGCCCGCCTTAGGGCCCTGGAGGCGCGGGTGAGGGAACTCCAGGAGGAGGTTAGCAGGCTGAGGGGAATCCGAGAAGCGGAGGAGGAAATTGACAGATATTTTCTATCCCTGCAGGATTGTGAGACCAAGGAGGATGAGCCTCAAGAAGAGCCCTCCACTGCTGAGTGGCAGACGGTCACCACCTGTGCCAGGGCTGCTCGAAAAGAGGCGCCACCAGTTCCTCCAGTACGGCTGGAGAACAGGTACGCGGCCCTGGCAGCCCACGAGGATGAGGAAAGGGAGGAAAGAACTGGGGAAGAAGGGACTCCACGCTCACCGAGTCCCGTGCCAGCTGACGGAGACAAGCTGACCAGGAGGAGAAAGCGTTGCGTGATTGTCATTGGTGACTCCATCCTGAGAGGTACGGAGGGCCCCATCTGTTGCCAGGACCCCTTGGCACATGAAGTATACTGTTTACCCAGAGCGAGGATTCAGGACGTGAAAGGGAAGCTCCAAACCATAATCCAGCCCACCGATTATTACCCCATGGTCCTAGTCCATGTGGACACTAATGATGCGGCCAGGAGGAGCACCGATCGCCTGATGGAGGACTACCAAGCTCTGGGGGGCGTGCTGAGGGAGATGGGTGCACAGGTGGTCTTCTCTTCCATCCTTCCAGTGAGTGGACGGGGCAGACGGCACGAATCATGCATCGCGGAGACCAACTGGCGACTACGGGAATGGTGTTTAGAGGCGGGTTTCGGCTTCCTTGATCACGACCACCACATCACAACGAAAGACATG